ATTTAGATATGGTTTTTATATGATCCTTAAAAAATAATCTCGTGTCAAAAATACATCATAGGTTTGCAGCATTTTCACAAAATTGTATTTCATTATTATCAATTTTGACTGAAGTAATATTAATTTTAGAAAGCTGTTGCCATGTACCGACAGGTAAAAATTTAGTTTTCTCTTGATTCAATTTGAGACAATTTTTTGACATCCATGTACCTATTTTAGTCAAGCATTCAAAGAGATTTTCAACTTTACTTTTAAACAGTTCTGGTTCACTGCTAACTATTATTTGGATGTCATCAGCGTACGCATGATATGAAAATCCAAAGGATTTTATTACTTCATATACTTCAGCAGTTTTCAGTACAAACAGAATAGGTCCCAGGACTGAGCCTTGTTGTACACTAGATGACATTTCTTCAATATCAGATAATTTGTTCCCGAAAAAAACCTGCTGAGTTCTGCCAAACAAGTACGAATTGAACCAATTAGCTACAACTTCAGTAACTTGATAATCACATTGTAGGCGATTCATCAGGATTTGATGGTCTACGCAATCGAAGGCAGCACTCATGTCCAAGAATGTAAGCGACGAAACATATTGTTTATCAATTGCATTAAACAACTCAGACATAACACACAGCAGTGCTGTTTCAGTTGAGTGATAACGTTTATATCCAGATTGAAATACTGGTATTAAGCTATTTTTGTGTAGATGACTCAGTACTCAGTAGCTGACTGGCAACAAATCGTTCAATAACTTTGGAAACAAAGCAAATGTTTGATATGGGTCAGTAACTTTTCATTTCATTCCTATCATCTTTCGTTTTCTTCAAGACAGATGTAATAATTGCGTGCTTACATTTATTCGGAAATACTCTCTCTTACAAACATACTTAGATTAATTCATAAACAATATCAGACTTTGAGTTGACAGATCTTATGTTAAGTAGGCCAAGCCAAATCTTTAATTTCTTTATTTTTACTGAGACAATTGTTTAAGTGAACTTTTTGAAACTGTATTATTTTCCATCTTCCAACTGGTCCTTTGACACGGTATAAAAAATTCTCTTTATCATCAGATTGCATTGATTTAGCTTTTTCAACAAACGTTTTATACTCCTGCCTCTGTTTCTTTGTCAAATCATCACTTAATCCAACACCGAAAAATTTATCAGCTATTGCTTTCTATTTTGTAAACATTTTTCATTATTGAATTCTTAATCTTTGCATTTTCCAGCTTTATCAACAATGGTCTGACTACGTCATCACTTTTTTTTACCTATCCTGGTAGTTCTTAGAACATCCTTCTCTGAAATGTCTTTAACCAAATGTTGCGATATCTTCATAACATCTGTGCGATCATTGTCGCTCTCAACTAAGCAAAAAACCATCAGGTTTGACTCTCTGTTTTTCATCTCATTCACTTCAGTCAACACTTTCTGAACGGTATATATATATATATATATATATATATATATATATATATATATATATATATATATATATATATAATCACATCTCTACTATGATTAAATCATGCGACATGATCGTTTGGCCGATTCGTCATATTCGACATTGCCTATCTATTGAACTATCGTCATCAACTGTAGCTCGCAGTATTGCTCTTTTTCAACTCGACTGTTGCAACTCTATCGTGTTCCACTCTACCTTATCTCTTCTCTTCAAAGAGTACAAAATAGTTTTGATAAGTCAAAGCCAATAAGTATATTTGTTCTTTTGTTATGCTCGTTTGTTGAAAATTGAATTTCAACATAATTCTACTTTATGTTACTTTATGCTGAAAGAATAAAAACTAAAAACTGCACAAATAATAATATACATTTTCATTAAAAAAAAAGCTAAAAAACATGAAATTATTGCTTGAAAAATTTTGAAACAAAAAAAAATAAAATTGAATAACAACAAATTAGTTAACAATTATGCAAAGTGAAAGAACGTTCAAGCTGTGAAAACAAGATTACTCTTGGTCCTTAAAAATAAAAATTTATCGCAGACCTGAACTCATGACAAGCAATGTACATATTAATAAAAATCATAAATATGGGATGGCATATAAATTATAAAAAGTAAATTAAAATTCACTTTGTTTGATTTGTTTCAAACATTATATTAAGAGTAGATGAATGAATCTATCATCATAGTAAAAATCCAAAGTTAAAAAAAATTTTAATAAAATAATTGGACAAACCTTCAATGAGGCATGATATAACTAGAGTTTCGCTCTGTTTGAAGAATATTTCACACGCTGAAGCAGTTATTTTAGGAGCCTCAGATTTATTAAGTAATGGTGATTTATTTCTAACATAGGGCTGAAAGTTTTCAAATTAAACTTGTTTTATATTTTACGTTTTCATATTTACGTACCATCATAATATTTTATTATAATTGATTACATTATAGAATTATCAAAAAAAAAAATTTAAACTTTTATTTAAACACAAATGGCATCCGAGGTAATGTTTATGATAATGACGATAATGATGGTTATCGGTAAATGCACATATTGCTCACATTTCAACATTTTTGTTACATAAATTTAATATAATTATAAAACAAACAACACATTTAGATAAGTAGATAAAATAAATTCAAATGCGCCTAATATTAAAGACGATATTGGTCTCAAAAATGTAAATATCATTTCTAGTTTCCAGTGGTCATTGAAATGCATTTATTAAACTATTTTCAAAAGAATCATTTTCCGTTAAACAATCTAGAAATTTAGAGAAGGAAAAGGTTAATGTGAGATAGTTGGTTATATAAAACATAAAACAAGTAAAAGCAATTAAAAATTTATTATTTTTCAGAAGCATAGTTATCAGTTGTGAAAACGATCGCAGTGTAATCTTTATGAGATCATTTTTTAAAGAGCTCAAACTGAGCAAGTACAATGACTAAGCAGTTACTCGTTACTTAACTATGTAATGTAGGGTACAGTTAAACAACTTTTTTTTGTGCCTTATCATTTTCAGGACATTGGCGACCATCAACTTTTAACGTTTTGTAGTAGTTGTCGATTGTTTTTCTTGGCAAAGGTTGTGGACAGTAGGTTGCCATTACTTGCTGTTAACCGCATAATATACGCCTAGTATATGATAGCCATTGAGATGATTGACTCAGCGAGCATTTGAACCACTGAGCTATCTCGCTGGCCAACATGCGACAACTAACGTCGTCTCTCATTTACCGACCTCGGAAAAATAGACGGCTGGGTTGGCCGAGGGTCCGGATGAACCTGCAGAAACTGCAGGATTTGAACCCGGGTCATGGGAGTAGTAGACGAAAACGCTAACCATTCGGCCACGAGACCTCTAAAACAACTTAAGCGGGGTTTCTTAATTGTTTTATATAAAAACTTTAACAAGTTGTTTTATACAATTTAAAAACGATGTTTTAACTTTAACACATGGATTTGTTACGCTTAAGCCGTGATCTTGAATCTTTTAACAGATGAATTTATGTAATTGTAAAACGTTTTAACATGTAATTAACTAATTTAGATAAATAGAAGCTTTGAATGTTAAAAACTGCAAATTTAAGTACAAAACATAAAAATTTTAACTTGTAAAATTGCAAATATTTTAGACAGTCGGTTTAATTTTAACAAATACAAAAATTCAATAAAAATGGAAAGAGTGAAAAATATTTCTACAACACATTTTATATAATAGTCCAAACAAAAGCCGAGGTACCATAAGCAATTTTGTCGCTACTTTTTTTTTTATTTAAGTAGCGATAGCGGCGCAATATTACACCTGAAATAGCGGTAGCAATAGCAACGCTTTTTTTATGAGTAGCATTAACAACCGTTTTCTATTTTTGCTGTTAACATAAGAATTTTAATAAAAAAACAGAATAACGTACAACTTGAACCATCAATATAATATAGAAATGATTTAAATGCAAACTATCCTCTCACATGAAACTACAAATATACACCAAACGTATAACAATGATAATGCAAACTCATTATAACCATATGAGATAATAAAAAATTGTATGGAGTGAGAAATGAAGAATAATAACAACAATATCATGCACATATCTTTACAGTATTAAAACCGGGGATGAAGAACAAGAAGAAAAAATACACGTCTGAAAGAGAAAGAGTTTCAAATAATTTTTAAACAGTTGGGTTCCGTAAATTTAGATAAACTTTGAAAAAATTGTTGGGAGTAACATTGTAACAGTGTGAAAAGAGATTAAAAAAATTCAAAAGGATTTGGATGAATACGATTTTTATAATTTGAAAGTGCGAGTTATCAATTAATGTTTTGATAAAATACGTAACAATGTAAAATGTGATATTAGGCTTGTATTCTCTTCAAAATAAATAAATATTAAACATTTTTAATTTGTTCTAATACATTGTGTTGCAATATTCATAAAAAAATGAAAATTGTAAGCATTTTATTAGGATTAATAATATATAAAGAAAAAGCACAAAAGTAAGCTTGTGTGGAGGTTGACTTAACTATGAAAAAAACGAATAATTTACAAGACAAATAAAACAATATCAAACTTCTAGGCATGAATAAAAAGAAATTGGGATTTTAATACCTGTTTTTTTTCAAACGGTATAACTGAAGCCATTTTCTCTAAGACTTTCAATGAACTTTGATTTTCATAGTTTTCTCTGACAAAGAAAGTTAATTTTTAGGTTACATATTCATTAAGACATCAGTTTTTTCCAACTCACTTCACAGTTACAATTGAGGTCTGGTATACCTTTTCATCACTCTTTCGGGCAACTACGGTATACTGACCGCTATCCGCTTCAGTTACGTTTTTTATTAACAATTTGAAATTACCGTCATTAGTATCTAATGAGTCTGATAACAAAAAGATGCGTGATTCGTCGGCTTGCAGCAATTCTGAGTTTTTGTAAAATTTCACATCAGCATGCTCGTGACCTATATAGAAATAAATATAAATTTCAATAATTTTACCAACTCGTAGATTGATTACTATTTATATCTCACCTGAAACGTGGCAATTTATTTCTAGAAGACCTCCTGTTTTGATTAACGACGGGCAAATAAATTGGTCAATTTTCAAACTCTCATTCCGGGTTTTCGATAAAACGTTGATAGGTACAGTACATTCGACTATTCCGTTTTCGTTTTCGGCAATCATAACCAAATCACCAACATCTTCCCATAAAGCTTTTGCTATTTTTAATGTTTGAATTCCGGATTCACTATTTGAATTGATTTTTATTCTACCATCTTTAAGTTCACTAAGCGGTTGTCCGTCTTTAAACCATGTTACCTGGTTTTTCGAGCTAGGAGAAAGTTTGCATTTAATGAAAATTTCGTCACCTAAATAAACTGATTGTGGTTTCGGTTCCACTTCGAACGACGGCAACAAAGCTTCACTCTCTTCTTCAACTAACGTATCGGTTTTTTCTTTTATTTCATCGTCTAATTTGACACCTTTTTTCTTTTTTAGTTTTTTAGTTACCACCTTTTTTGTGAGCTTCACACCGGTTTTTTCCTCGTCCTCACAGTACGTCTCTGTGTCATTCGAAGTTGTTTCTTCACTCAAATTTTTTTTGGACAACTTTTCTTGTTTACTTTGTTTGATATCAGTTTCAGAGTTGTTAGCAGACGAATACATTTTTTGAAAATTTTTTGGCATATCGTCAATGTTTTGTGGTTCGGCCAATAATTTTGCTTTTTGCCTTCGTTCTACTGCAACATTCTTTTTTATTTTTTTCTCCGCAGAGTAAAATTGATTGTGATCGTTTTCCGAAGTGTCTTGTTCAACAGCTTCGATCGAATATATATTTTCATCTGAGACACTTACAGTAGCACTCGTTTTTAGTTTCCCAGAATCACTTTCTATAACACAATAGTACTGGCCGGCGTCATCAGAAGTACAGTTGCTTATTTTGAGAGTCTGTTTGTTTCCAATGTTGCTAATTGTTATAAACTCATCCGTTTTTATTGGTTTGCCATCTTTTAACCAAGTTACAGTTGACGTTCCAGTTAAACCTTTGTGAGTACAAAAATGGATTTTGTTACGATATTCTTGTTTTGCGAAATGGACGATTTTGTTTCAGTGAGCGTAATTGACGAGCTGTTATGTTATATATAATTTTAATGACGTTAAATTTCGTGAAGTTTTAATTTCAAATTTTTGATTTGAAGGTTCAATTAACAACAACAAAACAATTTTTGTTAAAGAAACTGAAGAACGTTCTAAAAAATAGCAGAAAATGTTGAATGGTGATAACACGACAGGTTTTAATGAATTTATTGACATTTGCAGATATATTTTGCAAATGAATTATAAGTTTTCAAAATTTGTGTTTTGTCCTTTTAATTAAATGGTGAAATGTGATATTATATTAGCTAATTCTAAGAAAGAAATTGGCTTTATTGATATTGGACCCGCCTTGTTAAGTTTATTCAATTGGCATGGTAATCTTTTGGATAATATACAAACGTGAGTACAATGTCTTGGCAACATAAAAGATAAATTCAGTTCTTTGAATGACGTACAAGAATCAATCAATTAATCAATCACTCAATTGGTTTATAAATCGCTATTTCCGCGATGTTCGACAGCGCTCCTCAATGAATTTTGCAAAAAGATGTGTCTTGAGATTCGCTTTTAACTTCGTATGTGATGGAGAAGTAGTCAGAGAAGGAGGTAGAGAGTTCCAAAAAATGGCCAGAAAAAGCAAATGCAGATTTAGCAACAGAGTGTGTAACACGAGCTAAAAAGAAGTGAGAACAAGAAAACTATCGTAAACCGGCGCGTTTAAGTTTAATTAATCTAACTAATAAGTGCTTAGAAAATAATTTAGATTGAGACTTATACATAAATGTGCAAATTTTAAAAATTATTCTATGTTTTATAGATAGCCAATGCAAGAGAACAAGATATGGAGATATATGAGAAAAGAAAGGGGCACGGGCAACCAGACGAGCAGCCTAGTTAAAAGCTTTACTTATAGGATAGAGCTTAGAATCAAGAAGACTATTGTAGAGCGAGTTACAATAATCAATTCTAGATAAACGAAATAACAAAAAAGAGAAGAGTAGCATCGTCAAGGAAAGGCAAAAGTTTTTTTTTTGTTCTACGTTGATGAAAGTTAGAACTTCTAGCAACATTATTATTAATCTGAAGAGAAAAAAACATACTAGAATCAAAGATAAAACCTAGACTACAAAACTTGTGAGAAACATCAAAAGTTTTAAAATTAAGTAAGATAATAGGAGGAATGGTAATAGAGTGTTTAGATTTATTAAAACAAATTAATTCAAATTTGGAAGGATTATGACGATTAAGTTTAAGACACATAGAGTCAAACCAAGCGATAATTGAAGATAATAAAGATAAATTATGAAGAACACTATCAAGGTTAGATGGAGGAAAAGAAGTATAAATATAAGAATCATCAGCATATAATTGATCAGTGAAAGAAAAATAATAAATAATACGAGTAGTTCAGAAGTATAGAGTATAAATAGAAGAGGACCAAGGATGGAAATTTGAGCTACTCCGAAAGTAAGAGTAGAGAAGTTAGAAGTAAAATTATTGAGAACAACAGAAGAAAAACGATTACAGAGATAAAAAGAAAACCAAGATAGACAAGAATCGTTAATATTAAAAGAATGATCTAGCAGCCTCAAGAGAATAGCATGGTCAACAGTATCAAAAGCAGAGAAAAGTCAAGAGCAAGAAGAAGAGTAAGATTACTACTGTCACTATGTATATCATTATTTATTTTTAGTAAATAAGTTTCAGTACTGTGAGCAGGTCTGAAAACAGATTGAGATACAGGTAGCAAGGTGTTAGAGATTAGAGTTTAAATAAGATGATAACTGATTTTGAACCACTGTTTCTATTATTTTAGAGATGAAAGTAATATGAGTAATTTATAGCTAGATAAAGAAGAAGAATCTAAAGATAAGTTTTTAAGAATAGAAATAACAATAGAATTCTTATAAGAAGTAGAAAATTTAGAAGTGGAAAGAGATAAATTAACTAATTTGAGAATGATAGGATGAAGTATTAAAGAAAATTCTTTAAAAAAAATTAAAAAAAAGCAGATCTAGTGAACAAGCTGTAGATGACATAGAATTAATAATTATTGTATGTTCTAGAAGATTTATAGGAGTAAATAAAGAAAAAGATTCAGTTGTTTGTTTAGTAAAGTTATGAGGAGAAAAATTAGAATTAGAAGTTCTTAAAGAAGTAATTTTATTTAAAAAAAAGTCATAAAATTGTTGAGCAGAAAAAGATGAGTGAGAAAATTTATTATGAAGAAGTTTATATAGAACAGACCATATATTTTTCGATGTTGAAGTAGATATTATAAAATTTCTAAGAAAAATAGAGTGTTTAGAGAATAGTAGATATTTATAATTAATTAATTCAGATTCATAGATAGAATAAAGAAAGTTAGATAGATTTAACCTATAGGCTTTCTCCAGTCTTCTAACACTGTTCTTAGCTAATTTACAAGCATAGTCAAACCAATGAGCCTTCATAGAATAGAGTCTATAAGTAAAAGATTTAAAAGGAATAAGCTTATTAAGAAAAGAAGTAATGTAGATATTAAAAGCATAGATAGACAAAATCATCAACATCAGAAAATAAGGAAGTATCAAAAATTGTTTCAGTAAGAGATTGAAGAAAGATATTTTTATTAAGAGAAGACAATCATCTTTTAGAAATAGACATAGATGAATTAGAAGGAAGAATATCTAAAGAAAATACAAATTCAATAAGGAAATAATCAGAATAAGGAACAGAGCTAGCAGAGATATTAATAGGCTTAAAAAAAGATGAAGACAAATGTAAGAAATGTGTTCATGGTGTGGTTAATAGGACGGACGCAAGGACAGGGTTGAGTGGTGGTATTGAAAGAGTGGAAAGCTTTGTTTATTTAGGGGTTAAACTGAACGCAGATGGAAAATGTTTGAGCTCTGTTACGACAAGAGTTCGTGTGGGATGGATAAAATTTAGGGAACTGGATGGGGTATTGTGTGGAAAGAAATGGTCAGTGTAGATGAAAGGGGAGGGTATATAGAGCATGTGTGAGAGCAGCAATAGTATATGGTGGTGAAACTTGGGTGTTGAGGAGAGTGGAGGAAAGTGTACTGCAAAGGGCTGAAAGAGCTATGGTGAGAATGATGTGTGGGGTTAAAATGAAGGATAGGAGGAGTAGTACAGAACTGATGTCGATGATGGGACTGAATGAGGACATTGTGACATTGATAAAGAGATCGAGATTGCGGTGGTATGAACATGTGTTGAGAAGGAATGAAAGGGTCGGGATTAGGCGAGCGTTGGAGTTCAATGTTGAAGGAGTGATAGGAAGAGGTCGTCCGCGATTGAGATGGAGAGAGCAGGTGGAGAAGGACAGAGTGAAAGCGGGGTTGCGTGATACTGAGGCGAGTGACAGATGTGAATAGCGTCGAGGGGTATTTCGGTTTCATCATAGGTAGCCAAACGGCAACCCCCGATCTCGGGGAAAATGTCGTCTAAACGTGTGTTTGTGTTTTGTTTGTTAAAAAAAGATGAAGCTATAATAAAATTAATAGTGTTACCAGAAATATGAGTATGAAAAGAACAATATCGTGTTAAGTTAAAACAAGACAAAATATCATTAAATCTACAAGTGTAAAAACAAGATAAGTTAGTGAAGTGCAAGTTGAAATTACCAGAGATATAGAAAGAAATAGAAAAAGTGTAGAAAGATTCAGCGAGTGAGTAAAATTCATCTAAAAATATAGAGAGAAAAAGAAGGAGGTCGATAGATTACAGCAGTATAAAAAAAATAGAGAAAACAACTTAAAAAATATAACAAGACATTCAAAAGAAAAAAAATTAAAAGAATTATTAATGGAAGCAGTAAATATAGATTTATAGAATAGACAGACACTCCCATAAGAAAAATGAGAACATGAGAGAAGATCTTTTGGAGGTCTAGAGAGTTCAAGAAAGCTGTTATCATCAGGAGTAGCAAAAATAAGAGAGGGGGAGTTAGAGTCCTCGTGCCAAGTTTCAGTAAGAATAAAAAATGATATCACGACAGAAGGGCGCAGCAAAAAAGGCGCGGACAAAAAGAGTGCAGCAATAAGGGCGCAGTGTAATAAAAGCGCGGTTAAAAAGGCGCATATAATCAGGACGCAAAACAAAAAGGGCACAAGACAGAAAGGGCGCAAGTCATAAGGGCGCAATTTCTGAAATTTACATAATACTTTTATTCACATATTGTCTACGTTTATTTATAGAAATTTAATATAAATTTTTTATTTATAATTTTTTAATTATATTTAAAAGTTATTTTTGCAGGAATTTTAATTGCGATATTCAAAGGTTTATGAAATTGTTTCTGTGTAAGTCAATTTGAATAGTAGGTAAATAATGCATTTATATTATTTTATACATAACAAATTATTAATAATTAACTATTTGATTGAAGTGATATCAATAATATTAATGATTTTGTTAATCGTTTTATGAGTTAATTTTAAAGTAATTTTTTAAATGATGTAAAAGTGAGTTTAGAATGGATATTCAATTGTGACTTTAAAAGCCGGGTTACATTGGCACTGCATGTTTTCAAACCCAGTGACACGAAGTTATTGTACAGGCGTGCTACCCAAAACTTTAGGAACACATCACACGAACAATCTGTGAAATGACATAACATGCATTCTAATCCGATAACGCAAAGTAATCCTAGACAGGTCTACCAATACGCCATTGACGCCGTAATGTAATTCGATTAAATTTTCATTTATATCAGGGCTTCGAACCGGAACAGAACCGAAACCGAAAACCAAAACGAAAAAAATAACGTTCCGGTTCGAAGCCGTTAATATATTTTTTATAACGAGCACTTCTATAAATAGAAGACATTTTATTAATTAGAGGAAATTTTCATCTGTTTTAGTCATTGTATATAAATATATACTTTTGTTTTCTGAGAAATGTTATGCATTTTTATACTTTGTTTCCATTTGCTGGCTAAAAAAATATTTCAACACATTTTTTGTATATTTAGAAACTTAAAAAATTCATGACTAAGTTTCTTAATAACTTGAAATTTAATTAACAATGATATGTCAATAACTAGAATATCCGATACACGCGATACCGGCAACATTTACAAAAGCTCAATTAAATATAATTAATTAAATATATTTGCCCGCAAATTTATTAGCGCGCTCCACCACGTAATGTCAAAGAAATTCACTTTTAATTTCTTGTCTGGAAGATAATTAATTTTTTTTTGCTAAGTTTCGTGATTTTTGCATTCAGAATTATTTGTTACGGAATTTTTAATTTAAAATTTTTTATTAAAATTGAAAATTAATTTGGCTTCTTATCAATAATTTTACATCATTTTATAAGTGTTCTTTACTTTGCTTTACAAATTTGCGCCAGTATGATTGTGATGACCATTTACAAAACTTAATAACTTTGATGGGCAAAAACGTTTCCCGGAACTGAACCGATAACCAGAACCGAACCGAACCGAAATTTTATCTGGAACGAAAACCGGAACTGAACCGAAATATATTTTGTTAGTCGAACCGAAACCGAAAACCGGAACGAATTACGGTTCGAAGCCCTGATTTATATATTACAAAAAATTATTTTCAATTTTAAGATGCTGGGAAATGTTGCAATAAATTACCTTTACCCGAGTATAAATTATCAATCATTAGCATAAATATTATTGTTATTTTTAATTTCAATCTTACTCTCATAGCGCCCTCAATACTCGCGCCTTTTTGTCTTGCACACTTTTGTGCCCTTACTATACAAGCCTTTTTTGACATTGCCTTTTTTGCACAGCACCATTATTACTGCGCTTTTATTGTCTGCGCCTTTTTTGCTGCGCTCTTTTGTCGGTGAGCCTAAAAAATTATGTAAGGTGGAAGAGATTATTTGCTGAATAAAGAGCGATTTTTTAATGACAAATCGTATGTTAAAATTAAATAACATAGTTAAACATACAGTAGTTTCAAATGTTTAAGCAAGAAAAAAGTTAGCTGAAGTTAAATTGAAAGCCGGTTTCAGTTAGAAACGCTTGCTAATAATTTTAATTAGAAAAAAATTTCCAATGATATATCGTTCAAAGTGCAAATAGTAAATGTATTTCAGATAATATTGATAATGGCCATTCTGTCACAGTGAGAAAGAAAAAAGTTATAAACCTGCTATGAAAACTTTTGATATATATTTGCCGTCAAAGTTGAATATTGACACGTCTAATAATCAATTCAAAAATTATATGAAAAGTAAAAGTATTCTTTGTAAGTGTCAGTAATGTGACAAGATGTGATGCAACTAATGTTGTTGGACATCTCAAAATGATCAATGTCAATGAAAATATATGTTATCCTGCTTTCAGAAAGAAGAACAGAAACGTTAATCCCGATAATTATCAGCCCTTTACAACGTTCAGATTATGCGTTGACGAATAATTAACTAAAAACGTCAAGGTGTGGGATTAGACATTTAACAGCAACAATCAACTCTTACCTCCATGCCGAACAATTTTTCAATTAGACTTAAAAACATTATTAAAACTTGTACATTTTTTGTTATCAAATTTTACACATAATTACAAAACCTTCTACCACAGTGACAAGTTCTACCGGTTCTCCTTCACAGGTTTTAACAGGAGCTATTTTCTCTAAGACTTTCAATGGACTTTGATTTTCATAATTTTCTCTGACAAAAAAGTTAATATTTAGGTCATTATTAATTATGGCATCAGAATTTTTCCAACTCACTTCACAGTTACAATTGAGGTTTGGTATGCCTTTTCATCATTCTTTCGGGCAACTACGGCATATTGACCGCTATCCGCTTCAGTTACGTTTTTTATTAACAATTTAACATTACCGTCATCAGTATCCAATGAGTCGGGTAACAAAAAGATGCGTGATTCGTCGGCTTGCAGCAATTCTGAGTTTTTGTAAAATTTCACATCAGCATGCTCCTGACCTATATAGAAATAAATATAAATTTCAATAATTTTAACAATTCGTAGATTGATTACTATTTATATCTCACCTGAAACGTGGCAATTTATTTCTAAAAGACCTCCTGTTTTGATTAACGACGGGCAAATAAATTGGTCAATTTTCAAACTCTCATTCCGAACTTTCGATAAAACGTTGATAGGTACAGTACATTCGACTATTCCGTTTTCGTTTTCGGCAATCATAACCAAATCACCAACATCTTGCCATAAAGCTTTAGCTATTTTTAATGTTTGAATTCCGGATTCACTGCTTGAATTGATTTTTATTCTACCGTCTTTAAGTTCACTAAGCGGTTGTCCGTCTTTAAACCAAGTCACCTGGTTTTTCGAACTAGGAGAAAGTTTGCATTCAATGACAATTTCGTCACCTAAATAAACAGTTTGGGGTTTCGGTTCCACTTCGAATGTCGGCAACAAAGCTTCACACTCTTCGACAACTAACGTATCGGTTTTGTCTTTTATATCATCGTCTAATTGGACACCTTTTTTCTTTTTTAGTTTTTTAGTTACAACCTTCTTTTTGAGCTTCTTGTCGGTTTTTTCCTTGTCCTCTGTGTCATTTGAAGCCGTTTCTTCACTCAAATTGTTTACAGGCAACTTTTCTTGTTTGCTTTGTTTGATATCGATTTCAGATTTGTTTTCAGACAAAATCATTTCTTGAAAGTCCTCTAGCATATCGTCAATTTTTGCAATACTTGAGTCATGTGGTTCTGCCAAAAATTTCGCCTTTTTTCTTCGTTCTACGGCAACATTCTTTTTCAGTTTTTTCTCCGCAGAGAACAATTGAGTTTGATCGTTTTCCGAAGTGGCTTGTTCCACAGCTTCGATCGAATCTAAGTTTTCATCTGAGACACTTACAGAAGCACTTGTTGTTAGTTTCCCAGAATCACCTTCTATAACACAAAAGTACTGGCCGGCGTCATCAGAAGTGCAGTTACTTATTTTCAGAGTCTGTTTGTTTCCGACGTTGCTGATTGTTATAAACTCATCCGCTTTTATTGGCTTGCCATCTTTTAACCAGGTTACAGATGACGTTCCAGTTAAACCTTTGTGAGTAAGAAAAAAATTTTGTCACGTTATTATATTTATGAATTACGCCCATAATTGTATATACCTTCTATCACGGTGACAAGTTCTACAGGTTCTCCTTCACAGGTTTTAACAGGAGCTATTTTCTCTAAGACTTTCAATGAACTTTGATTTTCATAATTTTCTCTGACAAAAAAAAATTAATATTTAGGTCACTTATTAATTATGGCATCAGTTTTTTTTCAACTCACTTCACCGTAACAATTGAGGTCTGGTATGCCTTTTCATCATTCTTTCGGGCAACTACGGTATACTGACCGCTATCCGTTTCAGTTACGTTTTTTATTAACAATTTAAAATTACCGTCATCAGTATCCAATGAGTCGGGTAACAAAAAGATGCGTGATTCGTCGGCTTGCAGCAATTCTGAGTTTTTGTAAAATTTCACATCAGCATGCTCCTGACCTATATAGAAATAAATATAAATTTCAATAATTTTAACAATTCGTAGATTGATTACTATTTATATCTCACCTGAAACGTGGCAATTTATTTCTAAAAGACCTCCTGTTTTGATTAACGACGGGCAAATAAATTGGTCAATTTTCAAACTCTCATTCCGAACTTTCGATAAAACGTTGATAGGTACAGTACATTCGACTATTCCGTTTTCGTTTTCGGCAATCATAACCAAATCACCAACATCTTGCCATAAAGCTTTAGCTATTTTTAATGTTTGAATTCCGGATTCACTGCTTGAATTGATTTTTATTCTACCGTCTTTAAGTTCACTAAGCGGTTGTCCGTCTTTAAACCAAGTCACCTGGTTTTTCGAACTAGGAGAAAGTTTGCATTCAATGACAATTTCGTCACCTAAATAAACAGTTTGGGGTTTCGGTTCCACTTCGAATGTCGGCAACAAAGCTTCACACTCTTCGACAACTAACGTATCGGTTTTGTCTTTTATATCATCGTCTAATTGGACACCTTTTTTCTTTTTTAGTTTTTTAGTTACAACCTTCTTTTTGAGCTTCTTGCCGGTTTTTTCCTTGTCCTCTGTGTCATTCGAAGCCGTTCCAGTTGAACCTTTGTGAAAACAAATAGGGTTTTTGTTACGATATTATTTTTATAAATTATGCACATGTTTGTATATACCTTCTACCACGGTGACAAGTTCTACATGTTCTCCTTCACAGCTTTCAATAGGAGCTATTTTCTCTAAGATTTTCAATGAACTTTGTTTATCATAGTTTTCTCTAAAAAAATTTTTTTTTATTTTTTGTTTAACTCACGCAAATTTTTTTTAATGGCTTTTTGTTACCATCATTTATTTAAATAAATTTTTCAACTTACTTTAATGTCACAATAGATGTTTGGCTTTCATTTTCAACATACTTTACAAACTCTTTGGTGTACTCTACGCTTTTGTTTGCAGTTGCGTCTTTTGTTACTAACTCGAAGTGTTCCTGATAATTTTCTATTGAATCTGGTGTCAAATTAAAGTGTGATTCGTCGGTCTTAATTAGTTCTGAATTTTTGTTTTTCACATCTTCTTTGCAGTCTGTTTGTAATTAATTTCATAAATTCGATTTAAACGTTCTATTTTTTTGTCTTTCACGTACTACATGTTTATAGGTGTGTATATATATATATATATATATATATATATATTGGAAGATATAATGAATTAAATGCCATTAAATTGTTAGATATTTTTGAGTCGTCGTTCCAGGTTTGTTGTCGAGTTGATGGACCTACCCATATTTTGGGTGGAACACTCGATCTCGTCGTTTCTGTCGTTTCATCGGTTTATTTTCTACTTACGAAATGCACGATATTTCCATTTGGTGTATTCAGACCATAACTTCATCAAGAATATTTTTTCGTTTGTTTTTAGGAAGCCTATAATATTCAAAAAATTAGTTCGCTCATAGGATCGTATCAACGGTACATTGTTTGAAAATTTTGTTTTACAATAGTTTATTAGTGGTTCGTTTGATTTAAAATATCCCGATGTTTCTTACGCTTTGTTTGTCAAAGGAATGCAATCAATTGTTGATGTATTTGCCCAACTTCATTACGTTAAGTCCAATGACACCCACATTATTTCCTGGTTTAATGATCAATGTAGACGTATGAGCTTGCCGTAAATTGGAAAAACATATTGAAAAAACCCTAACCAAGTTAACAAAAGTTCTGTTTTCAAAAATTTATATTTCAAAAACTTGATCTTTGTTCATATATCTAGACCTAAGAAATTGTGGGTTACCATTAATAAATTGTTAGGTAAATCTTCCACTAGTCCTACAGTCCATGAATCTAATATAAAGTTTACCCCATCACAGTTTGTAATATCTTTTAGTGATAAGATTAAAAAAGTTAGAAAACATACAGATTTCTTGCTTGAACCTCCCAGTGCTCCTAGTGATTTAGGGTTGTCTGACTTGTTCAGTTTTTTATTCCATGTTCTGGTGATAAAATTAAGAAAGTTGTGCTCAGTTCACCATTAAAGACATTTTCCCATGATATTATTCCTGTGCGTATTTCCAAACAATATATAAATTTGTTCATACCGTTTCTCACATTTTTTATCAATTTGTGCTTTGACACTGGTTATTTTCCTAAGGCATAAAAACATGCAGTTGTGACTCCCTTATTAAAAAAGTCATCTCTTGATAAGGAAGACATTGCAAATTATCGCCCGATTTCCAACCTCTTGTTTTTATCAAAAATCATTGATCGATTAGTTTTAAAACAATTTTTAAATCATTTGAATGTGCATGGTTTAATTCCCATTCATCAGTCTGGTTACAGGCAGTATCACTCTACTGAAACTGCTTTGATCGATATTTCTTCGGAATTGTTTGCATTTACGGATTCACAAAATGTTTCACTTTTGGCTTTATGAGCGCTGCGTTTGACTGCGTCGAACAATCGCTCCTTATTCATAAACTCAAACGTCGTTTTGGTGTCGTGGGTGTGGTTGCTTCATGGTTCGAGTCCTATTTAATTGGTAGGACTCAACAGGTTTGTTTGAATATTTTCTGTCCAATGTCGAAATTGTTATTTCAGGTGTGCCCCGAGGTTCTGTTTTATGGCCTCTTTGGTTTACACACAACATTTGTCTACTCTCATTTGCATATCTGACCATCAACACCAGGCTAAAATCAAATCGATCAGTTTTTGAGCACTTTTTGAATTACGTGCCACTAATGCTGTATCATCTGTGAACTGTAACCACGATCTAGCCTTAACATTTGACGTTGGTTCCCACAAGTAGCCGCATTGTATAAAATCTTGGCCTTTCAATCGCAATCCAGTACAGATTGGAGTACATATAAAACCGTTATGATAAACGCTGCAACTACAGTTTTTGGAAAAACTGGTACAAAACGCCAGCATGAACGGGACACGTGGTGGAGGAATGACAGTGTACAAAATGCAATTGCTGAAAAGAAAGCTGCATACAAACAATGGCAAAAATCAATGTCTGTTGATGACCACAAAATTTTCCGTGAGAAGAACAACTATGCAAGACATCAAGTCGCACTGGCTCAGACAGATTAGTGCAGAGAGTGGCTCACTAAAAGCAAAAGTGAACCAATGAAATCTCTGTATCCTATAGCAAAACCAACAAGGCGTACAGAAAAAAAGACATAGTTGGTGCCTTATGTATCGAAAACGACAAAAATGAGATGGTTCTTGAACAAGATGAGATCAAGCTACAGTGGAAAAAATATTTCAACCGTCAGTTAAACGGATCAAATTCCATCAATGTCAATTTTGACGCTCCACCCATCGAAGGTCCGATCCCAGACATCACTGTAGAAGAACTTACAGAAGCTCTGAAAGCTATGAAAGATGGAAAGGCAGCAGGGCCCTCTGGACTCACAAATGACATGACATTATCAAAGCATCTGGTTCTACAAGTATCCAAACATTACTACAACTTTGCCGTGAAATCTGGAAAAATTGCTCAATGCCGACCGAATGGAACTATAGCATGACAGTTCCGCTATACAAAGGTAAAAATGATTCATTGAACTGTTCATTATATCGGGGTATACGTCTGTTAGAACACTCCCTGAAAAGTGTCGAAAAAATCATTGAGAAAAGATTAACGCGATGCATCACAGTCTGAAATTATCAATTTGGTTTCCTAGCGGGGAAATAAACAATTGGTGTAATTCACAACCTTTGACAACTGCAAGAGAAGTACCTCGCAAAGCATCAACAACTATCACATATTTTTGTAGACCTTGAAAAAGCATTTGATTGAGTTACCCTTGAAGCAATCAGGTGGAGTCTTGGTCGACAACTCATTTCAGAATATCTTGTTCGACTTGTGATAGAAATGTCTACAAATACTAAGACTTTCGTCAGCACAAAGGTTGGAAACACAGATGCATTTGACATCGGCGTTGGAGTTCACCAAGGCTCGATTCTCAGTCCATTGTTATTTATAACTGTGATGGAAGAAATCACAAAGCCGATACGCATTTGGAATCTAATATATGCTGATGATATTGTTTTAACAGCCACATCTGAGCAGAATGCAGCACAGATGTTTGAAGATTGGAACACCAGACACGCCGATCATGGATTCAAAGTCGTTCTGGTTTAGATGATATAAAGGACGAATGCCAATAACACCGTCTGCGGTGGTTTGGTCATGTCAAACGAAGTGGAAACAGTGCCATAATTTCTCTTGCAGATGTTAAGGTACCTGGCACACGTCCCAAAGGCCGTCCAAAAATGTTCTGGTCGCAAACAATCGAGCAAGACATGAAAGTTCTAAATTTAAATGAATGAATGGCGCAAAAAAATTGATGGAAGAGAAAAAAACGTCCTACCTCGGGGGAACTGGGTCTCTGGACGCTAAACAAAGATTGATTGATTGAATTTATTAATAGACGGAAGTATAGTAACTCTAACAAAACTAATTTTTTCTAGTACTTTGGAAATTGGAGAAAGTAGAGATATTGGTCGGTAATTACTTGTCTCTAACTTGCTGCCATTTTTGTAAATTTTAGAACTACTTTGGATGTTTTGAAACATTGCGGAAATATTCCTTGGGCAATAGACAGATTGTAAATATGAGTGATTGGGATAACAATTTCTGGGATAATTTGTTAGGTATTTAATATATCATCTGATGTGCTTTTTTTTGTTGCTTAAATTTTGAACACTGTACATTACTTCTTCATTATTGGAATTTGAATACATAGATTTACAGACTGTATTATTTATTTTTAATTTATATTCTGTAACTATTTCTTTTTCCAAAAGCATTTTGGGACATTGACGAAATATTCATTGAACAGATTACTGGAATAATGAATAATTTACCGAACGCCAATTTTGAAATGAAAGGGTTTTTTTAATAAAAAAAATGGATGTTTTATTGATTACTCTTTTTAAAATTGAGATATTTTAAAATTCTCTATAATTGCATAAACTGGAAAATAGTCAGTAAAGTGTGAGACTATGATTCCATTTTCACAATGTCGATATAGATTCGTGAATATGTTGTGACTAATGAAGTGGTGTTACAAGTTACTCTTGCTGGTAAACTAATTGAACGAACAAAAAACCAACAAAGTAGAAACACATTATATATATATATATATATATATATATATATATATATATATATATATATATATATATATATATATATATATATATATATATATATATATATATATATATATATATATATATATATATATATATATATATATATATATATATATATATATATATATATATATAATGTTCGAAGCATGTACAACTTGGGGAAATGCAAATGGTGGAAACAGAAATTGAAAAATTACTGATGGATGTGTGTGGATTAGCTGGGTCAGATGGGGAGGACAGGGTCACTTACCGACTGAGCTAACTTGCTGATCATATAATAATATTGTTATAATCAGAGTGTGGGCATTGAAAATTTTTGCCGGAGTCGGAATTTTTTAAGGGCTGAAGTCGGATTTTTTTATCCGACTCCGGATAATGTTATCTATTTATAACAAATTTTTATTTCTTTTCCTGAAAATTATTTTTAAGATTGTGTTTCTTTAGAGGATAAATATACATAACAAAATTCAATCATGTTTAATACTGAAAAAATGCTAAAAATATGAATAAAATCACATAATTATTTTCAGTAAGTTGTTGTAAAACAAAAATAAAGTAATTTTACTAAGACAAACTGTAGCATTGACTGATTTTAAGTGTTTCTTTAAAATATTATTTATTTAATAGTAAAAATAAGGTGAAATAATGATGCAAAAGTTGAATTTTTTTAGTTAGCATGTTTTAAAACATAAAAATTAAGTAATTTTACCGTAAAAAAATAACATTGACTAATTTCAAATGTTTTTTAAAGTATTTTTCATTTAGTAGTAATAATATGGTAAAATTATGGTACAAAATTTAAAAAATTCTTCTAGAATTCGGAACCCAGAGTTCTTGGAAGTCGGGAGTCGGAAATTTTTGCCCGGAGTCGGATATTTTCAATCTGACACAGACATACTGATTAAAATCGCTGCAAAGTTTTTTAAAAGCGCTATATAATTAATTTCAATTAATTATTATTGTCTTGATTCATCGATAATTGTCTGTTGTTATCAGATATCTTTATAACACCGATTGTAGAGTTGTTGTATATAAGCACAGCCCGAGTTGTATGATATTTTGGTAAATTATGAAATTTTACATATAAAATTTTCAAAATTTTGTAGTCTGGAAAATCTAGCTACATAGATGATGGCACTGATACATATTTCACTGATTCCAAACAATTTTACTTGTTTCTAGACATCTTCATATTTTTTTACAACACGAATAAAACTTCGGAAACATAAAACTTGAAAAAACTAAATATCACATTTTTCTCAAAGATTCAATCAGTTTCTATAAATAATTTACATTAAAACATATACATCTATGTATTTTTATCTTGTTTTCTTAATGATTAAACAATTTAAAAAAATTTGTGATTTTTTATTTTAATGCTGTTGAAATATATATATTTTTAAAAATATGTAATAATACCTGAAAAATTTATTTCTATAGTTTCTTCTTCTGGCGTGCACATTGATTTGGAATCTGTTTTATTCCTTATTTCGCCAAAATTTACTTTTTTATTGTTTTTTGCCAGTTCCGAATGAATCTTGAAATTATTTTTTGTTTAAAAATGTTAATGTTAAAGTTTTTTGTTTATGATTAAAAGTTATGACCACCACCATCATCATTATTATTGTTTAAAAACAGCGAGTTTCTGTCCAAAAACAGACCGTAGGCAATAATTATTTTAAAACATGTTTTTTATTCTGGACCATCGTTGACAATAAATTTAGCTCACTCATATTTTTTAAATCAAGTCTGCAAATTTCAACCTGTCTTTCTTCTTCATTCTTCACAATTATACATTTAAACATTTATTTTCAAATTTCATTTAAACAATAATTATTTTAAAACATGTTTTTTATTCTGGACCATCGTTGACAATAAATTTAGCTCACTCATATTTTTTAAATCAAGTCTGCAAATTTCAACCTGTCTTTCTTCTTCATTCTTCACAGTTAACATTATACATTTAAACATTTAATCTACATAGTTTTCATCTCAATAACATAACGTATAATATACCTAGATATTATATGTTCTATATATGTCGTGCATTGTTTAAAAGGTTAACAAGAAATAGTCCTGCACAGATTAGTTAGTTAGTTGTAAGTTAACTACAAGAAATTTGAAGAGAAAAAAATATTTTATGTAAAATAAAGATGAACGAAAACATGAAAGGTTACAACTTATTTCATTTCTTTAACTTTATAGTTTTTATATTCGTACAAATAATCTATTAATATAGACGACTTAACGTTATAATGTGTTAGTTAACGTTAAATTATTTGCTACAGATCCTCTTATCTCTTTTTCCTTTATTATGTTACATATTATCCCTGTATTTAAACCTTTGTGCAACAAAAACTGTACACAACGTATACACACATTATGTATGCACGCGCAAGCATCGCATCATACGCACATGGCGTATGATAGTCTTTCAGTTTCAACCGACAGTATTCAAACCAGGTTATTATGTAACTGCACGAGAAATAGCACTTCTACCGACTGAGCTTAACTCGCCGATCTGGTGAAGCAGCCTCAATGTTCGGAGTCCGAGCTGTAGATTAAAAACGAATTTCTGATGTTTGGACAAAAATGCAACATCCATTACAGCTGAGCTCTTGTTAGAAAAATCCAACCGTATACAACGTACACTCACACGTCTCACAACTATGGACGAGCTTTTGAGATCCATTTTAGCTTCTTTCAAAATCAGTGACCAGCTAATTGCAGTCACTTTTGCATCGTCATCGCACAAAAACATGTATTTTTAGTTTTATTTGTTTAATGTAAATTATAGCACAAACCTCTGCAAAGTCGTTTGATGTTTTTTCTGTTTTTGGAATTCTGACATAGCCATCAAAACTAGAAAATTCTTTACTTATGCCAAGATCATTTTCAGCATAAACCCTAAAACTATATAAATAGCCAGGCTTGATTTTTGTGTAGTTAAAAGTATTTGCATATCCATCAACTTTGCCAATTTTTTTAAATTTTGTTTCGTCGTTTTCTTTCATTACGATTATGTAATATTTGATTTTACTGTTGCCTGTATCCAACGGAGGTGACCAAGACAACGTTATGTGATCAGATTCTACATCATCCAAGATCAAACTTGAAAAATTCGATGGCAAATGTTTTTCCATCAACACATGTGGTAATTCTTTTTGATCTTCAGATTTTATAGTTTTACCATTTTTCTACAAACGAAATTAGTGTTTATCCAAAACATCACAAAATGAACGCGTTTTATTAAATGATAAGCATACCTCAAATATAATATCATCAATTTGATTAGCATTGGATCTAACCATTTCAGTAATTTGTTCATAACTTGGTTCCTCTTCATTTGAATACTCAACAGTTTTAGTTTTGGGTACAAAGAAAGTTTTTTTATTTGAGAATTCATTAATATTATTGTCTAAATGTTCCGTTCCATAAAAAACAGGTTCTTGCAGTTCAACTCCTCTAAAACTTAGACCAACCTTAGAAAATAATTCAAAATTATAATTAATAATTATTGATATCGTTAATTAAACCACCTCATTTTCTGCGTAAATCCTAATAAAATAGTTTTTTTCTTTTTCTAAGCCATTTTGGAGATCCCATTTAAAAATGTTACCAGGGACTTTGCAAATTTTTTTAAACTTCGGTTTTCCGTTTTCTTTTGCTGCAATGACGTAGTGTGTTATAGGCAGACCGCCATCATTAATTGGAGGTTGCCATTCCAACGTTAATCCGGTTAGAGTGGAGCATTTTAACAACTTAATGCTAGCAGGTGAATCTAGATGAACATAAAAAAGTAATAATTAGTAATTGGATATTTAAATTTATGAAAAAATAAAAGATTAATAAATGATAAGTTAAATCTTAATCGTTCAGCGGCAGCCTGTGACAAACTTTTTAGAGACATCCGATTTATATATTTATATTATACATTGTACACTTAAGGGAGGAGCAGAAATTGAAATTATGGATGAAAGTTAAAAAACTGAACAAATTGGACGTAAATAAACACATATCTAATTAAAAACTGAATAAATATATACAGATGCTTTCAAATAAATACGTAAATAAACACATAAACAAAAAATTTAAAAAAATGCAGATGCTTTCAAACTTGCAGCTGATTCAAAAGCAGGAAAACATTGTCAGTTTTATGACTGTCAATATTATTTTTAAGCCTTTTTCAAGTTACTATCGATATCATAGACACTCTAAAATAATTTAAGATCGAATGTAGTTGTGCAGTGGTAAAAATGTTTTAATCCGTAAAGTAAAATAAAGATAGATTAGTTTGATGAAATCGATTTTATTAAAAAAACAAATTATGTTACCAACTTTACACTTAAAGTTGTATGCCACAAGTTATTGATACACCAAACCTTTGTCAATATCTTTTTGGTTTCGATTAGAAAATGAAAAAAGTTTATAAAATTGAAACTATAAGACTCTAGTAAAAATTTTTTAAACAAAAATGCCTGAACATAATTAAACAGTGTCGAATTGAAATGTTGAAATCATCTATATAGGCAGTTAAAAAATACAAAATTGAAGTGAAACAAGTGATGTTTCAAAAGAAGTCTTGAAAACATAAAAAATTCAAAAAATAGTAGTCTGTTCACTACCGTTTGTCAGAGTGATTAATATATCAAAGTAAAGAAAATTACAAAAATTGTTAAGTACTTTAAGAAAGACATGAAACCTGAGTGGAAAGAATTTGAATAAATTGATCAAACTGAAATCATGTTATAAAATTAAATGTTTGTTAAATTTTGAGAAAATTAAGATCGGTACGTTGAAAAAGATAAGATAATGAGAAAGGGTATTAATAAAAACAGATCAATCATAAATGGGCTTGGAGTTAAAAGTCTGTAGAGATTTATAATAGAAAATAATTTAAATGATTTCAGAATGTAGAAAAAAAGAAAGTGTAAACAATTGTTCAACTATAAAAATTAAGGAAAAAAGATAGGAGGATAATGAGAACAGAACAGATGGAGAACTGTAAGTGAAACTTCTATTGACGGTTGCTGAATTGTTAACAGGTTGATGTAATTGGACAGATGATGATGCTAATGATGAACGAAGATGAAGAATGAATGAAATGATGTATAAGATGATGAGGATAAGAATGTCGCATTGTAAATAGTTATTATTATTGTTATTGTTTCAGGAAGTGGCTACGTTACTCCTTCGATACCAGTTAGACGACGGTGTACTTCAGGGTGATCCAGTCTCCCATTAGTTTTCAATTTGTGTTTCAATCCGCTGATAAACTTAATTGAAAAGTCCATATATCAACAACGCCGATACATGTGGGGACTGACGGCCAATTTAAAATCCACCGCTTGGCTTCAATTCGTGGATGATACAGCCATCATCGCAAACAGCAAGGACGGTGCTCAAAAATTTATTCAATTGAGCCAAGCCTGGTGTAAGGCTACCGGAATAAATATGAAAATGGACAATTGCTGCTCATTCGGAATAAGAAAAAAATGGCGGCTATGAAAAGTTTCTCCGACGCTGACCATAGAAGACAAACTCATTCCTCGTGTTGAAATAAACGATCATTTTGTATATCTTTGCAGGATTTATGATTTTGATGGTGGCAACTCAATAGCAAAAGAATTGATGATTAAAAAGCTTAAAAACTTGCTATCGGTCATAAACGAAGCGCCCTGATGGATTCGTTAGTTCGTTCCATTACAATTGGCCTATGATATCCCGCTGACATGGATTGCAGAAAGACTGGATACCTTGGTCGTGGGGACAGTAAGAAACTGGCTGTGTATCTGAATGTTTATCCTTTCAAATCGCAAATCAGATCACTAACAATTTTGCAGGATCACTTAGAGTAAGAATTAAACTTCGCAATTATTTTAAAATTCACCATAACGAAGACATCAACTGCTTATGGAGTGAATCGGATACACAGCCAGTTTCTTACTGCCCCCACGTCCAAGGTATCCAAATTTTCAAACAACACATGATACCAATCTTTTTCTTTCAAAAATCCGCGGCCCTTAAACACGTTTTCAAAGAATCTAAACCACGATTTGGGGTTTGCGGTGCTGAATAGGTTCAGTTGGAGTGAATCCTACAACAGCTACATTAGAAATTGAAAACATGCCTCTTTATTCAAAAGATGTGAAATTGACACTCCAAGCGTTTAAGGGTTACCAACAGGAATCCGATTTCAAGCATTTGTCAGGGAAGAATCATTAGAGCAGTTGAAGAACCCATTTCCGCAAGTCAAGTTTGCCTGTTGGTCAAAATTCGCTGCCAAACTCTCAGATGTTTTATTCAAATTTCTGAGGAAGGCAACTTTCAACAATTTTCTAAAAATGTAAGCATATCCAGATGGGGGTAAGTCGTTTAACGCATTTTGTCCACTTTGTAACACGCTCCAAATAAACAAGCATGTTTTGTCAAATTGTAGTTCAGTAGCGGCTCTGAAAAGATTCACAAATCGTCACGGGAGAATATTATCCTATATTTTAAGCATGTGACAATTTGCTATATATATCTTGAAAACAAAAGCAACTTCCTTTCTCGCTATATTTTACGATCGAACTTCTATTGTCAATTCGTATAGCCAAACACGTTTTTGCTTATTTTAGCATTACGTCAATAAAATACATTATAGACATTTTATTTGTTGTTTCTTGCATCGAAAGAAATCTCGCAACAAATTGGTGATGGCTTGCGAAATTATAGACACAGCTACAATAAAGAGAACAACGAAGAGGGGTCCACTCTAACTGAACCTATTTAGTACCGCAAACCCCAAATCGTGGTTTACATTCTTTGAAAACGTGCCTAAGGGCCGCGGATTCTCGGAAGAAGAAGATTGGTATCATGTGTTGTTTGAAAATTTAACAATGAACGTCATCGCAGACATGGAAACGGAATTTGCGTCAGCACGCCTTACTTACTTACAGCACAACTTACGCCTCGCTAAAGCACGTGTTAACGCAGAGATATTCAACATAGATAGACACCGGGCACACGTTTTTCAAAAAGTTAACAAAAAGCATCAATAACAAGATATTTAAAAAAACGGACCGAATACCACATTTGCCAATTCCATTTCAAGATTGTAATACAGACCCACCAACGCACAAAGAATTAGTTTTAGCAATCCAAAGAATCAAATCCAGATCGCTTCTTAGAATCTAACAAATATTTCAATAGCAATAGATGGGCTTTCGGAGCATGCTCAGATGCTTTCTCACCTACTAACTGACGCGAAAAGACATCATCGAACAATCATCGTAACATTTCTCGATCTGTGCAATGCTTTTGGTGATCAACCTGATCAAGTTAATGCTAATCCATAATCATGTTCCACCACCAATAACTAACTCGATACGCTCAATTTATTCCAATTATTCCATCATGGTTTTGATCAACGGTGAACTAATTCCTGCAATTCAGATAAAAAAAGGCGTACTTCGAGGCTACCAATGTTTTTCAATCCTTTTAACATGTGCTTCGATCTTTGATGAGAGTTTTAGATTGCGATCGTCAGTGTGGTTACATATGGAGTCCTTCTGCAGAGCTCAAATCCAGGCCGTGGCTACAATTTGAGAACGAGTCGGCTATAATTAGATAGTACAGAGAGTGTATTTTAACTCTATTTTATTTTATTTTATTATATCATATCATTTCATTTTATCGATAGTTCATTTTCCTCAAATGAATAAAAAGGAGTTTTCACATTATCATTATTTTTATAACATATAGTGTTGAAAATTTTGATTTGTAGTAAAAATAAATGTTTTTGTAAAAATTGCAAATGTTTCAAAAAGTTGCGGATCTAAACAACTTTGTCGGGGATCTAAGATTTTCAAAAATTATTTGAAGACCGGGAGAGGAGTTTCAAAATAATTTTTTTCGACGACCAGGGGGAATTTTTTAAATAAGAGTTTATAATCGGAGAATTTTTTAACAAATTTGGGAGAGCCAACATTTTGACGCGGGGGTCAACTTTTATGGTAATATAATCAAAATTTTATTTAAAATTATTTCTGGAGATTATAATGTCAACATTTCCTTCTAGAACACTGCTGTTTTTGTTAAAACAACGACTTTTACTAACTATTAACACAAATAACGTTTAGAACGGTGGGCCGACTGGTTTCCTGTTAAAGTCGTGAAATTGCTTCAAAAACAACAAAAATTAACAATGTGGAACAGATCAGAAATTTTATTAATCATTTACTATTTTTCTATTTATAAGTTAAAAAGAAAACTGTCAAACTAATTTAGTTAACTGACAATCTAGGTAATTAACAATAAAATATAACAAATTATCAAACCTGGAACAGATTTTTCTGTTGAAATTATTTCACTCAGTACAGGTTGACCATACTCGTCATAATTCTTGGCTCGTACTTTGAATTGATAAGTTTTGTCGGGTAATGCGTGCATAAATTTGAAATTGTTAACATTCTGTGGAACTCTGCCAACTATAACAAAGTCACAATTATTTTCACTAGCTTCAATTATGTATTCCTCAACATTTGAATTGTCCATATTTGAAATCCAAGATAGTTCAAGTTTATTATTTTCTGACCGCTGGACATTCAACATGCATGGAACGGCACTGATTTCTTTAAAAAATAATAATTAATTTACCATTGTAAAGAAATTATCAATTTCAATATTGTATCACATTCATATAACATCTCAAAATCTACTAGTTAAAAAAATTGATTGATACATCGAAGCCGATTTTTGAAAATCGTTAGTCAAATATAATTAATTAATTTATTTATTCAGTTCTCAAAGGATAATGATAAAATTATTTAAATAATTTATTATCTTTAAAACTCATGAAATCACCAAATTATTTTATCCCCTCATCAAATTATCAAAAAGAAACTCTACATCTGACTTGTAGACATAAAACCTGACAATTTATTTTTGCAACTCAAGTAATGCCAATAATAAATTTCCTAAGTTCAAATATTGACTGATAAATTCTGTATACATAAATGACAAATATATGTATTTTTCAAGATTATTTGTATTTAATACGATTATTATTTGCGATGTGTAAACTTATTTGTGTTATTGGAATCATTTAATAAAAAGTGCTGAAAGTTATTGGCTGATTGACAGACACTTAACGATTGGTTGATGGTGACTGATTAAACAAAAAACAACTCACTCTATTATTTTTCATGAAAGTATGATTAATAAACTATTAAAAAATCGAATTTTTTTAAACATTCGATAATTCAACTTGTTTATTTGTTTATTTATTTTCTTATACAACAATTAATTTGTCTACTGAAATTCATGTTGATCTCGTTTAAACACGGTTTAAACACAGAATAACTTGAGTTGCTGCATCTGTGTCGTGTGTATGAGAGGGAAACTACAGTTTTAAGATTGTAGACAGTGGGTCAAAGGAAAAAATTGTTCTCAGATTGAAATTATTTAAATACCAAAGCTGAGTAGAAACAGTACAGTAGGACCAGGCATAAGGACGCGGAGTTTGCATCATAAAACTGGCTAAAGTCAGAACAAGCAAAGGAAAGAAAAGCAAATGAGAAATTTAAACAAATAGGTGAAGTCAAAATCCAACTATTCTGCTTAACAATCGCAATATTCATAAATTTTTCTAGGCAAATTAAATTAATTTTTTAATTTATTTCACGTTTTTCATTCAATCACTTTCATTAAAACTTTCTGCTATAATTGCCAAGAAGCAGGTGAAGTCATTCTAACAATCGTAGTTACATTTTGGCGACCAAAATATTGCTGGAATTTGGTTATCGTCTATGTTTACAAGTAGTCCTTGTTAAAAAAAGGAAAAGGTTAAAAAGTGCACTATAAAATATATAAAGTTATATGCTTGAAAATATTTAAAAGAGGGCAAAGAGAATTATAATGTGTTATGACATATAAATACAGATTAAAAACTTGTGGTCTGACAACACTAGAAAAAAGAAGAAGAGGAGATTTGATTCAGGCATACAAAATCCCTATGAAGGATAATTTGGAATCAGTAAAATTTTTTGAGTTTAGGATGAACAACAGGTAAAACAAAAGAGCATAAATATAAGATTTTTTAAAAAAAGCTCGGGATCGATAGAGCAAAAATTTTTCAGCCACTGAGTTGTCAACGAATGTAATAAACTGGAAGATGAAATAATATGCGCAGAACCAACTAATAACTTTAAAGCAAACTTGGCAAAAATAGGATATTAAAAAAGTCTTAAAGTGGTCCTGTCACAGACTTAGTCATTTAGGATCACTATAAAAAATTTTATGATATGTTTTTATGTTTAACGCAATTTCAAATTAAAAAAAAACTAAGAGTCACAAAATCTTACTAGGCTTTTCAAACATTTGTCATTTTTTATAGATTCTTAAGATGCAAATGGCCTTAATGACAAACTTCGCTTGTAGTTAGAGAACTGACAAGATACATTGTGAATATAACCGCTTCAATTGGAAAACGTTTTTTGAAAATTCGGAGTTGGATGTACGTTTTTACAAATAACCAGAAGTAGCAAAAAGCGTAAATCTGGTGTCAGCTTGAAAAAGGTGAATAGGCTAAACATATTTCTAACGTAAAATAATTATTTATTAACCTCCAATTTTTTTTAAATTAATAGTTTCATCTAATTCAACGAATCTTCTAGGTTTCACAAAGTCCCATTCTGGCAACATTCTAACTCGGTAACTGTCGGGAAGATCATGTTCTGAAAGTTCAACGCCGCTATCATCCATATTGACGGTAATTTTTTCATTCCAATGTTTATCATTAATGTTTCTAGTTTCGATAATATAATTTGGAACTTGATAAGGCAGCGATGCCATTTTTAAAATTTTGGAGTCCCACAACAAAGATGTCTGTCTATTCTCATAATTCAAAACAGCCTTTAAATTTTCAGGGAACGGAAAAACTGTTAGATAAAAATTTAAAAAAAAATTAAATTTATTTATCATTAATTTTATATAAAAAAAATCAGAAAACTGCTCAAACCTATAAAAAGTTTTTATTTGCAAAATTTTAATTCTCAGCATAAAGTTTTTGGAAACTATAATCGAAATATTTTTAATTTGTAAAAAAATATTTTTACATAGAAACTTATATTAATTTGTAATTGCTTATTTTTAATTCATTCATTTATTACAAACCCGGAAGGCAAGTAGACGGATTTCCGTGGAGAACGAAATTTGTCAAAGATGTACCAAAAGGACTTACGCCCGCTGGGTTGGAACTTTTTACTCTAAAATCATATTTTTTTCCGCCTTCTAACTTTTTACAAAGAAATGAAAAATTTCCATTATCAACTGCGCCAAGCAAAGAAAAATTTTCATCGTTTTCAGATTTCATTTCAATTAAGTACTGCAAAACTTGACAGTTTCCATCTGATAGCGGCGCATTCCAATTGAGTACAACACTTGAATCATCCTGATGAACTACCCGCAAATTAGATGGGGGAGGAGGAACAACTGAATTAAATTTTTATTAACCTTATATTAAATTTAAAGAATTCTATTATACACATATTTATAGAAAAATTAAATTGTGGCTACTTGTAAATTCACAGTTGTGATATAAAAATAATATCTCGTTAATACTTCAAATCTATTTTATAATTTTAACTATTCAAATCATTGTAAATTAATTATTCTATGTTCTATTTAATATTTACTAAGATGGGTTTAGCAACTTTTTTAACGTAGTCTATCATCAGCACCGCATAAACTGTTTCTCATTTCAGGATTTTGTCTATGAGCTGAGCATGCTAAATGATATCAAAATCAAAAGCACTTTATTCAGCCGAGCTATTAAGCGCTGATTTTGGATATATAGTTAATACTTTTAAAATTAATTTTTCGTGAATATTTAAGATTTGAAAGACTAATTTTTCATTGATTTTGTTATATTTATTTATTGTGATTAAGAACTGAAAACATTTTGTGTACATTTAGATATTATAAACAAAAATTATAAAATTATTTAACCAGGTTTGACAAGTTTAATAGGTTGGTGTAACACAGACGGTTTGCTATTTACACCAAAGGCATTAACAGCTGTTACTCTCAAGGAACAATGATCACCGACTGGCATTCCTGTTATCCTTGTTACAGGATTTTCATCAGTGAGAGCAACTGTCGTCCACTCAGGCTGAGTCGTTGTAGATACGTCTACTCGGTATTCCTTAATAGGATAACCACCATCATGTTTTGGTTTCTCCCAGCTAACAGTAACTGAGCCATCCTCTACGTTTAAAATTTTTAAATTTCTAGGCTCTGATGGTGTCGCTGAAACATTAAAAAGTTGAAAAGTTAAATATAATCAATCAATGGTTTTAAATAAAATACAAGTAAACTAATTTCTTTGTAATAAACTATATTATACTTTCTACTTTATAACTTTATGTGTTGTAATATAAATAATCTCAACTAAAAATGTCTCAGTAGTTGCCATGTATAAAGTGAAATCATTTTCGATCAAGAATGTGTTTTATAAAGAGTTCCGTCAGCTTCTGGAACAGGGAGGTTTATCATTCTCGGAGAAGATGTGAGTGCATTTAAAAAATTCGCTTAGTGATTCCATTTCGGCAATAGCCGACCTGATTTGTTGATCGACCTGACATGGCTCTGTTCTCGGTCCCCTGCTAAATATGTTATTTACGGCTTACATTATTGAAGTAAGTAGAAAATTCACCTGTACACGGATGATATCCAAATATATATATATAGAGAATCTGGATCACTAAACTCACATTCACAAAATGTCGTCTACGGTCATGTCTGCAGTTAAATAAGTTAGTGACTTGATGGTTGCAAACAAGCTCGAGTTAAACAAAACTCAATATTTATGAATCGGAACCTCTCACAGATTAAATTTCAAAACCCATAAAAGACTTTGTGTTATTTTTACTTTTGATTTTTTGATTGATGGCTCTGCCAGCTATGTTTATATCAATTTTACCGAATCAGATCAAATCTAAGTTATTTGACATTTGATTTGGATTTTACGGAGGCAAGAAAGCGCTTTTACAGAATACCCGCGATAGTATTTTAACAACTTTAGAATAAAATACGTTCCTAATAAATATAACTTTTATGTGATTACATATATACATAGGTCCTAGATATTGTGAACTCAAGGATGGACCACCCAATTGGTATGCACTGAATAGCAAAGCTGGGTAAAAAAAACTCAAGTGAGTTTATGTATAAAATCGAAATCAAAATAACTTTTACATTAGCTCTGTTAACCACATTGTTAATGCCTAATATTGAACTCAATAGTTGAAAGCACTAAAAAATTGACAAAATAAAACATATTTATTAAACGATATAACAGAATTAGTGCAAACTAACATAAACTATCTGTTAGCATGGTAGGATTGGTCAACTCAGCTGCTTGTGGACTGAATCCCGACTGATTGTAAGATCTCACACGAAATAAATATGGGATATTTGTTTTTAAAAAATCACAAGTGAAACTGCATAATTTGCCATCTATTCTTCCAACTGGATGATAATCATTACCAATTTCCTTCATATCAATGAAAAACTGATCAACATAATAACTCAGTGGCCGGTCCCAAGTTAGTGTTATTGATTTATTAGTTATTCTAGACAATTTCAAATTTTTTGGAGCATCAGGTATATCTAACGAAATATTAAAATATTAAGATAAATAAGAATCGTTTGTAGAACTAACTAAAAAAATTACCTGAAAACCTTTTAGTGCAAATAGATTCGTGAAATTCAAGCGGTTTTTTACTACACCCAATTCTATTTACAGCCAGCACTCTTACTTTATAAAAACTTTCAGGTTTCAGATCACGAACTTCTACTGAATAAGTACTTCCATCAACGTTTGCTACGTCTTTCCAGTTTATGTCACCATCCTGTTTAACTTGTATAATGTATGATATAATAGGACAGCCTCCTGTATAATATGGATGACTCCACGTAACATGAATTACACCCTGACCAGAAGGCTGAGCTCTCAACGTTTGGGGACTTGATGGAAAGTCTGTTCATGAAATATGTTGTAATACAAATAGTTAATAATCATCCATCAAAGGTTTTTCACCTAAAGATTCTTGGACAGTAATAAAATCTGGAAGGTTAGCAAATTCACTGGAACCCATCGCATTTTCAGATTTGATTCTAATACTATATTTTTTATTGAGTGGCAATCCAGGTAATTTATAAAAAGTGTTCGAATTATCAAGACATGCCAAAACATGATAGTTTGTTTCATTTTCTTCCTTTATTTCAATCACATATTTCATAATTTCAGATAATGTGTCATCTTTTGATGGATCCCAAGTAATCACTGGATTACTTTTACTAACGTTTTCCACAACACTAAAATTAATTGGTTTATGTGGAGGCACTATGAGAAAAAAAATTATTGAATATCATTTTTAACATATGAAGTGTTATTTTGTTGAGTTAGTAAGTTTTAAAGCATAAAAATGAAAACTAAAATTGTTAAAACATGAATCAAATTACATATAAAATAAAAGACTTATAAACCATGTTAAAATTTTAAATTTCTGACGAAATGATATTACACCAACGAAATACACTAACCAATGAATGCACAACCCAAAATCATTTTTAATTTTAAAATTATAAAAATTAATCTGCAAAAAGATGCATAAAATTAAAATTTCTAAGAAAAAAAATGAGAACTTCTAAATACATATATTGAAGCCTCGTTTCTGATTACCGAAAAAAATATTTATATTTAAAAAAAAAAAAAACGGAATAATTTTAAAAAAAGAAAAAATAATTGAGTATAAAGACGTTTATTAAAAGAAGCATTAAAATAAATGTAAAATATCTTTTCAGCAAAATATTTGTTAAAATTACATAGTGATTACTTTTTGGCTTTGAACAAAAAATTGGTTCGAATAAATCACATGCTTTTCTACTGATGCCTTGATTATTGAAAGCATAGACATGAACAAAGTAAAATTCTCCTTGTTTAAGATTTGAAATTTCTGCCTCAAGAGTGTTCGCATCGGTAGAAATTTCTTTTCTCCAACAAGATTGACCATTAAAACAAGTTTCGATTAAATATCCCATAAGGGGAGCACCCCCATCATAGAGCGGGGGTAACCACGAAACAGTGACACTGTTATCTGTGATGTTGGTTACATGCAAGTTCAGTGGAGAGGAAGGTACATCTGCAAATTTTAGTTTTGACTTTTTTAAAATTGAAAATTTCAGTATATTATATGATTAACGGTGGCCATAATACAAAATCGCATACATCATTGTTAAACAGGCGTCAAAACGTTTTAGTTGTGACTTATTATAATTTTAAACAATTTGGTCACATCTCCTGATATCTTATAATTTCTGATTCATCATTAATTGGTAAATAATGTTTTTATTTAAGTTAATAGTTAATAAAATCTTTGCACAATTTCAATCATATTTGGTGCCGTCCTCATATGAATAGACCCGTTAACACGACACACACCAATATTTTATATATTACCAACTCGCACTGTATTATTTTATAACGGCTTGATAATGAATTAAACGAGCAAGGTAAAAAATTTCTAAGGAAAGAAAATGAGAACTTCTAGTTACATATATTAAAGCCTCGGGTTGACTATGCAGGGGGTGGGAATGAGAAATGAACTCTCATCTCCTAAAAATGCTCCCATTGGCGATAGGTATCTTACCTCAGTCAATCAAGTCCTACTCCTTGCTTTCACGTGGCGAAGCTGTTTAAACTAACAGGAGAGGGCGATAGCGAGTAACTGGTGCCATAACCAGACGTTCCGGGCCATCCACCTAGTGGAAGGAAAACTCTAACTTCAAACCTCCGCTGCCTTGCGGCCACACCCATTCATAGAAAGGCTATGGGAGTAAACCCAAACAGAAAATCGCTAGCACCTGCAGTTGGCTATGAGAATGGTTCTGCTCACCAACTCGGTATCAGTTCCGACTAAACTGCTGCGTCCATACTGGTCAGTCATCACGTCGCAATTTATTGTGCCTGCTGACAACGGCCTTTGTGGAAAGAGAGGGTGTGGCTAGTTCTCACAAAACTTTTTCCACCTTAAACTAATTCAATTGTGCAGGTTGTCTTCGGTGGATGCTGTGAGCGTAAAAGCCCTGCGACGACTGGAGAATGACGACGGGCAGAGGTAGGGGATACTACTGGAAGTGTCTAGCCACTATCCAGCACGTAGGCGGCCTTGGTGTGATGGTCGCTTGTTACTGAGAGCTACATGGATGAGCAAAGCGGTCGGTCCCTCAGAAATTCAAAGATGCTCTGATCGTTCATAAATTTAAAAGAAAAGGTGATCGATCAAACTGTGACTACAGAAAAATCTTTCTGCTTTTGCTAAAGATACTAGCCAGAGTGATTGCTGAACGCCTGGCAAAACATGTCAACAATCAAGATATCTTTCCGGAGAGTCAGTGTGGATTCAGAGTTGGACGCAGCACAACAGATAAGGTGTTCTCTACGAGGCAACTACAAGAAAAATGTCGCGAGCAGCAACGGGGACTGTATATGGTTTTTGTTGACCTGACCAAGGCATATGATTCGGTTGATAGGTCAGCACTCTGGCGCTGCTTGTCAAAAATTGGTTGCCCCTCTGTTTTTGTTGCCGTTGTTCGTTACTTCCATGAAGGTATGTATGAAAGCGAAGCGAGTGTGGTCGAAAATGGTGAACGGTCACAGGATTTTGATGTTACAAACGGAACCAAGCAAGGATGCGTTATGGCTCCATTGCTGTTCAACATCTACTTTTCATTGATGCTCCGAGTTGCTTTTCGTCACGGTAGTGAGGGGATACCAATCTGCTATTGTATGGATGGGGATGTTTTTTATATTAGACGATTGCAAGCCAAGTCCAAGACACAGATCTCTGTTGTTCGGGACCTTTTATTTGCTGATGATTGTGCACTGGTTGCACACACACAAGCCGAGATTCAGACGCTGTTCAACCGCTTCTATTTAACAGCTGAAAGATTTGGACTTACAGTCAGTCTGAAAAAAATTGAGGTTTTGCATCAAAGCTACCCAGTTTCGTTGGGGGCAATGGCCCATGTGATGGCGGACGACTTGCGTCTCAATTCTGTTGATGGATTTTGTTATCTAGACGGATATCTCCAATAATGCAACTATCAATGATGATATTACAGCAAGGCTTGCAAAAGCAGGTGCTGCTTTTGGTATGCTGACCGGACGTCTTTGGAAAGAGTACGAAATTACTCTTGCCACAAAAATTGCGGTATACAGAGCAGTTGTGCTCCCTTCACTGCTTTATGGTTGCGAAACCTGGCGTTCTACCGTCGCCATATTCGCAGGCTCGACCAGTTTCATATGAGATGCCTGCGCATGATTGCAGGTATCCGGTGGGAAGACAAGGTCCCAGACACAGTGGTTTTGGCAAAGTGCGGTATAATGGGTGTAGAATCGCTGCTGCTTCAAACACAGTTTTGCTGGATAGGGCACGTTATACGTATGCCAGATAAAAAATTCCCAAGCAGGTTTTTTTGTGGTCAGCTGGCATCGGGAAATAGACTGGCAAAAGGCCCTGTACGCAGATACAAAGACACCCCTAAAGAAAATATGAAAAAATGTGGTCTAGACCCCAAAGCTCTTTGTGTTGGTGCTCTGCGACGCTCGGAATGGAAAAGGTTTACCCAGTCGGCGGTTTCCGTTTTTGAACTGGCACATACAGCTGCCCTCGTTGAGAAAAGGACTCGACGAAAACAGACAGCCCAAAGCGGCGATAGTACAGATGTATGGGTTTGTGGAACTTGTGCACGGAAATGTTCGTCAAGGATAGGACTTTTCGCTCATTCTATTACTCACCGATGACCCAATTCGTCGATTCGACGATGTACCCCATACCCGTTAACACGACACACACCAATATTTCATATACTACCAACTTGCACTGTATTATTTTTAAAATGACGTAATTTTTACCTTGCTCGTTTAATTCATTACCAAGTCGTTGTGAAATTAGTGTAAATGAACCGCTACGTTCAAATTACTTCCATTCTTTTTAGCCATTAGTCATAGATAAAAAAAAATTAAGTTTTTCAATCACGTCTATAGCAAAATCCCGTAATAATTATTTAAGAGAACAACGACATATTAGACAGTTTCTTTCTACCGCTTTGGCTAGTGATCTGACACGGTGTTTGATACTGTCCAAATTGGACTACTGCAATTCTAGTGATCTGGCACGGTGTTTGATATTTTCCAAATTGGACGACTGCAATTTTGTGTTATATGGAATATCTAAAAGTCAAGAATTAAGTTTCCAGAAAATAATGAATAGAGCCGCTAGAGTAGTACTCAATTTAGATACACCTTTACATCGTCTGTGATCAACGACCTCGTCGAATCTAATGAACCTCCATTGGCTTCCATTTCACTTTCGAGTTTTATTTAAAATAGTTGTCATCGTCTTCAAACTTTCAATCTCGCATTCACTGTCGTAACTCGGTGATCTTCTACATAGTAATACAAACAATCGTCAACTTCGCTCTACCATCGCTCTACGTTTTCAAACGTCTGACAGAGGATGTTTTGTGCTTCAAGGGCGCCTCAGTCGCTTGCCAGGGCGCTTCATAAGTCAACATTACCATTAGCATAATTGTATAGTTGTTTTCGCATTTATGAATATTGTTTATGCATATTAAGAGAACGTTCCTCAAAGCACACAAAATCGCTTCACCATGAACCCCAACGATTTTCTTATTAATTTTAATAAATTGGATAGTAATTAAAACGTTACTGTTAAAAATATTGAAAAGCTCAATCATAAACTTTCAAAAGCTAAAAATTTGGTAGATTATATATATATATATATATATATATATATAACAAATTTAATTGAATGTTCTTGCCCATTTAGTATTAATTTCTTTTGGGTTTGTTCAATAAGACGCAATTGTTGTAACTCAATTTTATTAAACTCGTCAAGCATTTCGAATGGCTGATTAAATTAAGACTAATCAAAAAAGCACTGATGAAAAAGAGGGACTGGAAGAAAAAAGTTGGAAGACCTGTGAGGAAGTGGATGGATGATATCACGGAATGGACGGGGGTTGGAACATTGAGCTCAATAAAGATGGCGAGGGAAGGAAAAGGATTTTGGAAAGATAGAAGAATACCATCGGCCTCAACGGTCCCTTAAGGGATTACAAAGGATCATTGAATGAATGAATGAATGAATGATTAAATTAAAATTAATGTAAAAAGTAATTTTAATTTAATTTCCTTAATCATTTTATGCTTATATTTTCCTAATTTGGTTTGTTTATTCTTCTTGATTTTACAATTTTAAATACTCAATTCATATTTAATAATTTAAACGTAGGCTCTGATGATGACATACACTGTCGAAACGACGTCGTCAGCCGTTCGAAATGCTTGACGAGTTTAATAAAATTGAGTTACAACAATTGCGTCTTATTGAACAAACCCAAAAGAAATTAATTAATATAAAATGGGCAAGTACATTCAACCAAATTTGTTATAACGAAAATCTCGTACCAAACTATATATATATATATATATATATATATATATATATATATATATATAATATATTTTTGTTTATCCGGGCGCCTCTGACGCTATGCACAGGGCGCTCTTAAATGACATTATA